TGTATCTCTTATTCCTTCCTCTGTGTGTAAATATAAATTAACACACTACAGGCAATTTAGAGTTAAATAATATATTTTATATATATATATATATATATATCAGTTTTCCAATGCTTGTGCCTCTAATTACTTTACAGTTTTAAGAAGGACTCAAAACAGGAGTAAATATTTATTTGGTGTATTCATAAATGGAGGGAGGCTTTTATTTTGCTTTTTATTTTTATTTTATTTTTCTAAATTACCTCTCTTTATATCTGCTGTTTGGTGGATGCTTATGTGTAATTTCAGTGTCACACACATTCTGCATACAAGTCGCTTTTGTAATGTATGCCTTTTATTCTAACATCTACCTTGAGGTTGGATTGTAACATTCACTCACATTAAATATTTTATTGATATGTTTTGATTTATACACTTATAATAATTATCAGTAAAAAGATATTTGCATACATATGAATTGCCCTAAGTAGTTTTCTGTATTGTGATTTCTTTATCTTAAAATTACTACACAGTTGTAATATTATAACATGTATTAGTGTCAGGTAATGATCATTAGTACATTTGCTCTTACATATGAGAGAGTTCTTGTCTAATTTTATATACATTTAAATTTCCAGGAAAATCTTAGAAGTTTTTGCTTTGATTTCTTCTTTAACAAAAAGTAAAGCATAGTAAAAGTTTTACCAGTTATTATTATAGATTAACTTGGGAAAATGGTCATTTTTATAATAGATTTATCCTTTGTAAATATGTTGAATATTTGAGTCTTTTATGTGATTTTTTGTATTTTTTCTCAAATACTGCATATTCCTTTTGTAAATATACTTTAAAATGAAATGCAATATTCATATGACATGTGCATAAAACATACATTGTATTTTATAGTATTTGTCAAACTGGATATAGKACATCAAAAAAATTCTAGTTCCTAGAATTTACTTTTTATAAAATTTAATAATTATTTCTTCTTCTTTAACCATGCACCTTGGTTTCAACTCTGGAGGAATATGGCTGTATTCCCATTTACAGTTGCTATAATTTTAATCTCTGTTTCTTGTGTGAGTGTATCATATACATTTGATTACAAAACAGTTTCTACAAATGCATAATAAAAACTTAAATTATTATTTTCTTCTTTTGTGAATGTATTTATTCCACATACTCATCAATACTATTTAATTCATCTATATGATATGATTTTATTCAATGTTACCTAATTTATTCTTTGTAGTCCTCTGATTTCTTCTTTAGTGATGTCCCAGTTTATTCAGATTAACCACCAATACTTACCTTTTGTTCTGAGGGCCAGCATGATCTGTTACAAATCTTGTGAGGAAACCTGTAAAGAAGCAAACAGAAGAGAGAGACACACTCACAGAGAAAAGGAACACAGAAAAAAAAAATGGCCACTCCTCTTCACGGCTGCACATAGTATACCCCAAAATTATGTAGCTTCTGTTACCATGACTACATTTTAAACTAGTGTTATTTTAACCCCAAGTGCTAGCTAATAAAGATAAATTACAGTTACTAAAAACATAGAGCCCCTTCTCCCTAAGGACATTACCACAGAAACTAGATAGTGCACCTGTAGATTTGTCTTAATAGCTTCAAGGAGAAACCGGTAGGCATTACTACTTTGGAACTCAGGGTGCCAGTTATCATCACTCCCACACTTTTCTGTCTATTTCCAAGGTCAGAATACCTACAGCCTCCCCCTCTTTTTTAAGTCCTTTTGAATAAATAATATTACTTATCTTCTTAATGCTGGTGGGGGCAAAAAATAAGGCAGCCATAGACAACAGCAAGTGCCAACATCAGTAAACATCCACCTATGAATATTTTTTGACCCAGATCAAATTGAGTAAACATGAAATTATCCAATCCAACAAGTCTATACATCAGTTATCATGTTGGACCTTATTAATGATATCTTTAAGGTAATCTAACTCTTTTGAAATAAAATTACTATTATCATTTAAATTGAAGGAACACATGTTATTAAACTTCTGATATCCATTATGATGTAACAATACCAGACATTCAATTGCAGCATGAATGTCAAGTATGGCTTGACAATGTTGTTTTTGTTTTTCATTAAGCATATTAATGGCCATGGAGGCATGGCTAATACTTGTTATCATAGGATAGGTGAGTTTCATAGTAGTTTTGTAAGTGGTTTTGAAGAGTTAGTCCAGAGTACATTCTAACCTATTTGAGCCAACACCTTTTGAGCTGAGGCTGCTAATGGTTTTGTACCCCCCCAAGTAACTGGAAGTATAGCATCTTGGGTTCCTCTTTTAATGTTTCTCCCCTTTTTAGGAGAATGATTATTCTCTTCTTTGGAGGGACTCTTCTCTTCCGGGGTTAAATGAAACTTTTGAATCAGCTTGTGAAGTCTCTGATGTACATTTATAATTGCTATATTTCATACATCAAGCTAGAGTCCAAACAGGACATGTTGGCATAAGTGTAGCAGTCCATGCTTTTCCCCAGGTGATCAAAGGCATAGGATCTTGTCATGCTGGTCAAGTGGAATCTTATATATTACATACTTTTTTTTTGGTAATGGCTGTTTGAGAATAAAATGTCTATTCAATGCAGATGACCAATTTTGAGTATTAACTTTATGTTGTATATTGAGCACATTAACTGTAAATAAAACAATATTTAATGCATATTAATATGAGAGAGGCTAGATCTGTTTTTTT